TTTTACATCGGAAACCACCCCCAAAGTTTGAAATCGAAGCATTATTTCGACTAGTTATGCTGTACACAGACACAAAAAAAAAAAAACACATCATTGTAAAATCAATACATTCATCACTTCGTTCAGAATCTAAAAATGATTTACATATTAGTAAAAACATATTATGTTAATACAAATTTTATATAGATTTAAAATATAACTACGTAAATTCTTGAGTTTAAAATTAGCCTCCCCCCTTTGAGCGTGATAAAACCCGCTCCTGTTACAACCATAGAGTAATAATGACTCAAAAGAATAATACTAAGATTTCCATGGTAAATAGTAAATACAAATTCAATTGATAACGATACATTTGAGAATTGCATTTTATTTTTATACGATTGATAAATCTTGATTTCTTTCCAACGTGGAGGATGGTGGTTGTATTGTGGTGAGGGGGGAGTGCTAGGGGACGAAGCTACTCTTAATTTTTCATTGTATTATATTGTACCCCTTTATTCTATTCATCAAGGTACGCCGTACGCAGGGGGACGCTGAGTCCATCGAAATTTTTATGAATATAAATTTGTTTCTTTGAAAAATTAAATAAATAAAAAAAAAACTTATAAATAATAAATATTTAATTTAATTTATGGCATTAGTTCATTATCAGTATATTAACACATATTACATCAGGAATGCAATACCTACTGAAATATTACATGGGTTACATGTTTCAAGTGTTTTAACTATGTATTGATCTGTGGTATAAATTGTTAAAATTCTAAAAATATATTACAGCTTTTACGAAAACTCCAGGTCCAGGGTGTACTGATGATAACAAAAATCTTTAGTAGACCCACGATTTAACCTAACCTAACCGAGTGTAGACCCACTAGACCTTAATAATACAATACAAGATCTGTGTGTTGTTTTTGCTATCAACGATATTGACGAATAACGATCGTTTTATACGAAAATTAAATATTATTTATATTTAATTTTAAAATATGGCTCGCAATTACTCGGTATTTTATTTTTATTTTTTATTTTTATTAGCTTTCAGTTTAACTATTACAGCTCAACAAATTACTCGGTATTATGTTGGCTTTAGCGGTTGAAGACTTGAAAATATTGTAATAATAATTGTAATTTAGTTTAAAATTATAAGAACTAAGAACCTCAGTTGGCTCAGTACCTCATTCCTGCATGGCTGCATGTCATGTCGGCGCTATAAATTAAACTACCTTGGTACCTAAACTATATTGTAATGAATACCACTTACCAATCATACTCATTTAGTGATTAGCAATATTCTGGTCACGAAAAAATAGTTAATATTGGATGGAGAATGGCGTAAGAGGGGTGGTACAGTTTTTTCCATGAAAATTAAATTTTTAAATTTATACAAAAAACCTTTGTCCAGGTTTTTTAAATTAAATAAGACATACCAACCCTATGATAAGCAGGTTAATCATTTAATAAATGTTTTATTCTAAGAACAGTGGTCAAAGCATCATTAACACTCATTACCCAGTTGGGTATCATTTTAGTTATAGCAGGTAGGTATACATAAATATGAATATAAGACGTTCATTGCTGTGAACTCCTCTGAAATAAATAGCTGTCAAAATACGAATAAAAAGCCGGATGATACTCACCTAGGTGAAAACTAGTGCTTTATATTATTAAATTGCGAGTATTTTAAATACGGTAGGTAATTGAATTGCTTTTATTTATCATTTCAGTAATACAAATAAAATTAGCGTAACTCGTTTTGTTATTATGTGTTTGTAGAGCTATTAACATTAAGGATTGGTGCTTATAAAAATAATTAAACAATATAAATGATTTAAACATTTATTGAATGTATAATAATATGATGTTTTATCAAAATATCAAGTTGTAATGAGACTATTAAAAATARATCCTTATAACCGTTATGGTTATCGTTTTAAAAATTCACAATTATTTAAAATAATAAAAAAAAGAAACTATTCAATTTGCGATTTATTAAATAATTGTGAACATAATAGCATAGGTATGCTTTTAATCCATGCATTACATTCATGACATATTATAAAAAGACAATTTTTTGTCACATTCAAATATTAAAACAATAAATATAAATAAATGTCTTTTTTGAAAAAAAATAGARTGCCGTAAATATACTGTAAGTACGCTAATTATAAAAAWAWTTTTTAACAAAAACACAAAAATGTACTTAGGTATATAATATACATGATATATGTAATGAGTATTTTGTATTAAATAAATCTGCATTTAGCTGCAGTAAGTTTGTAATATATATTTTTATAGTACAATATATTTAATACTTGTATAGTTGTATATAAGTACTATGGGCAAACTTATATGTTGCAGTTTCTGCTGTTGACAGTGCATAAATCCACAGTTGCTCGTACCTAAATTCGATGTAGGCATTTACCAGGTAATTCTTTCATCATTTAATAATTATTATTTCACAAAATATGTTTTTGAAAAAAAAAAGGCTAACATGATTTGTTGGTAGTCGTTAAAAAAACATTTTAAAATTTATTTTATTTTTACAGTTTTTAGAATTTTATTTCTTGAATGATAACATACAGTTTTAATTTTATATTCCAAGGAGAATATTTTTCTAGGTATTTTGATGAATAAAAGTCGAATTTAAGACAAGTAGTTAATGAGTATAGGTATTTAAATGACCGAAGTGGAGTGGTACGCGGTTATCCCGCAAAATGTCACTCCACTCATCCAAACATTYTAAAATTTAAAGTTTATAAACTTATATGTTATACCTCATAAAGTTAATCATACTAAATTCGATTTTAATGTATCAAAATACTCGAAAAAATATTCCACTTTTAAAGATTAAATTAAAAATTTACGTATGTTGTGATTCAAATAAGATAAAAAATAAATAATTTTAATAAAAACTTTGTTTAGTAACAACTCRAAACCATGTAAAAAAATATGTTTTCAAAAACTATTACTTTTTGAGTGTCCGACGTTAAACGAACCACCTGGTATAATATATTATACAAACAGTACAAACATTATGACCCTGATATATTTCGTTATCGTAATACCTAATAATATTACACATAGGTACAAGGTAATTCTTTTATCACGAACCAGACAATAAATATTTAGATAATTCAATAATATTGTGTAAGGAATTATAATTTTTTTTCTAGTTGTATAAACAAAAACACTGAAATCATAGAAAATATAAAACAGTATGTCCATAAACTTTTGAAAATCCCTTTACCTTAATTATCGAAATATTGTCTGAGAATGAAATAATTACCTTGTTTATACAATGTGTCATTTACTTAAATATGTGTATATACTATWTAATTTAACACACCACACTGTTGAACTCTGTATCCGGAAGATTGTGTTGGCGCTGTTAAATGAGTTATTCTTTTGGCAGAGCACTGTCGCTTTTACCACGGGCGTACGCCTTTACAACGGCTGTCTTTCCGCCCAACATCCGGTCCAATAACGATTGTTTGTTCTTCCGCCGGACACTCAACACCTCTCTGCAAACTTCAAGAAACACCTCGGCGATCTGTCCCACTTGTTCAGCGGCCGCCACTTCGGTGAAACAACATTCGAAATCTTTCGCCAATATTTCACCTGTATAAGAATATACGTGAGGAATAAAAATTAAATTGCCTATTAACAACACATTTGGCTAATTTTTATAGGGGACAATGCCCAACTTTCATCTCCCCCCACTGTAAATAACACCACTGGTGACACTCATAGAAAAAAAGTTATCAATATGTTCTGTTGTATAGGTACACACTTAGTAAGTACACTTGTTGATATATTTTTTTTGGTACCTTCTTCCGTGCTGACTTGTCTAAGATGAACCATATCAGCCTTGTTGGCCACCAGCGCTACGGGCATTTCGAAAGCGTCCAACATGGCTTGTTTTACGCGGCGCACGTAATTGAATGAACGTCTATCTGTTATAGCAAACACTAGCACAAGAGCATCCGCCCAATTGTAAACGTCGTTTAAAGGTAACTCCTCGTCATTCTATAAATATATATAAAAAATATGTATACATATCGTTATATATATATATATATATATATATATAGACAAGTGTGTTGTTGGACCAACCACATCAATTATACACGAGTATAATTATAGAAATTGATTATAATACCGCGATGTATACCTATCCCTATATATATATATTTATTATTTGAGGATACAATATTTATAAGTTTGAGGGGGGAGATATAGAGTTTAATAGTTAATATACTTATTATGCAGCTTATAACTTATTTTTGATCAGTTTCCTCCAGTATGTAAATTAAACAGTGAAACAAATATAACGAGCAACTATAATACATAAATAATCATCAAAAAGTACAAACTCGTCCGGATATTTTACAAGCACGTTCAATGTATTAGTTTCAAGTTTTCAACATTCAGTGTTAATGTATAGATAGTTTGTTCCTGCTGGGCATAAAATGATAAAATTTTTTATTTGGAGTTAATTTAATTTTAACTCAACTTTTAACCCTAAATAATTTATTTTTTACTGATATTAAGTTTATAATTTAATAATTAACAAGTTATTTGAGGTATTCTTAAAATTACTTCTTTCTGCCTAAGTCAGAATTTTTCAATAAAAATAATTATATGTATACATAATAAATTTTTATACCATTCAGTCATTTATTTAAAATTATCTATTGACCATTTGTATGTTAAAAATTATTGAATATGAGTAAATTTTATGATTAGAGGAATTCATTTTATTCGTTAATTTTTGGTATTAGTGTGAAATTCAGCACATTGACCAATTTGATAATAACCTTATTTTCAAATTTAATAATAAAACTATCTTATAATGTTATAACTTAYAAGTTCTAACTGTTCTAACTTAATAGGTACCTAATAATTATTAATAAGTAATAAGTCATAATTCGTCATATTATTATCAAATTTAAAATTATAGCAAATACCTAAGAATATTAACCAGGACCCAACATAGGATTTTTATAATATGTATCTTAATTTTAAAGCAAATTATGATAATTTAAAATTGTAAATTTACCTTGAACAATACTCTTTAATCTTTAATTATATGATAAGTAAATTCACTCTAAAGTCTAAGTAGGTACATATGTATAATTAAATAATCAATGTAGATTCTTCTGAAAAACGTGCTATTTGCTATGTGTTGGGTAGTAAGATGAAGACAACATATGTGCCATGCACGATACGAAGTCCTTTTAAGACATATAGGCACATTAATAATCATACGTACTTTTGGACAGGTGTCTAGTATCTCGAAAAGAATCGGTTCGCTGTCCACCATCACTTCATGCTTGTACCTCGTTTCTATATTGCAAACGAATTCGATCAATCAATAAAAAGAATTTTGTTATTTCGTTATAGACCTGTTAATATTCCAATTATCAGATGGGTATCTATAACCTTTAAAAAAAAATATTTTATCAAGATTTTAACCTAACTAGTGTGTTTATTTTCTTATTAACTTAATAGCTTAAATAGGTAGGTATAGTAAAATATTTCATAGTAACAACTATTATGTTATTATAAGTTTGTGTTTATGCTCATATAGGGTAGTTATTTGAAGTTAACTTGAAAAATAATATGATAAGATGAATTCATGGTTATATGTCATATTTATATCTGTATAGTTAAAATTAAAACTAATTAGTTAATTACTTTTTGTGTAATCACGCTGTGTACAATGATTTTTAATTCACACAAATAACCAAATAAAATAAGTAATTTAGTTGTTATAAACAARTATTTCCTAARCCACTACAGCTACCGCGTGTGTTACCTTATAAGAAGGGTAGAATAGAATTATTTTTTAATAAACATTAAATTTATAATTCAAAAAGTATAAAGTTTCACAATCACTGTACCTATGTGTGAGTGTGTGTTTCAGGTTGTACTAAAAAAAAGTAAATGTGTTGTTTGTTAACTGTTAACTTTTAGCTCAAGGTTCTTAACTTACTAATTCAAGTGAATTTTTTTTCATTAACTTGATCGCCTTTGTAAATTACTAGTAGGTACATACCTAAAGTAATAACAGAGATATCAAATATAGATACACTTCTAATTAACGTATATACTGTGCCTATTTATGAACACATTAAATGTGATGTGTTTAGCCGTTTATAATGTTGATATTATTTCTCAATATTTCATAGGTATATAGTATATACTTATAAATTATTGTGATTTGCGAACTTGTGCAAGATGAAACATTAAAGTCTATGTGGCCTTAGCTTATTGTATATTATAGGATTCTCATTTCAATTGTGTAGTATGTAATCTCATCAATATTTTATTTGGCCTTCAAAAGTTATTTTTATCCTTAAACGTTTTCACAAAGTATTTGTTTTAGTATAAGTTTAGTACCAKATAATTATTACAAATAAAGAAAATTTAAATACACACAATATTATTAATTATTTAAATAGTCTTATTTTATTTTAGTACCAGTTTATAATTATTTTTTTTCTGCAGAATAATTTAACCGTGAATTTTTTGGCCTGTAATTCTATTTTTGCATTTATTTTCAAATTAAAACTTACCAGCTTGGTGGTCATATTCTCCAATATATCTCTTTGTTAAAAACCGTACGGTCAATGCTAAAAACAAGAGAAAAAAACAGTTAATTTATGTTAAGACTATATTTACAACTTCTACGTTCATAAATATTCATTAAATTAAATTTTTTTTTATTTACCAGGTAAATTATTAAAAAAAAAAACATGATTTGTCATGACTCCATATTAATTAACACTTTTGATGAATTAAAAATGAGTAGGTACCTATAGGTTGTTTAATGGATTATACCTAGATATACAGGGCATAACAGAAAGACCTGACAAATAAAAAATTATGCGAACTAAACGTATGATAAAATTTTATTATATTATATGATAAGTAAATAATTTAAGAAATATACTCATGTCAACAAATTCTCAAAAATCATATTTTTAAAAAATGTATTACGTTCCAAAATTTAACCAAAATAATATAGTATGTTAAGAGAGTTCAAAAAAATAAACTACTTGACTTAGATAAATCTTTTTACCATCAAAATTGTTCTAATAGGCACTAATAGGCTATTTTGAATTTATTCAAAAAGATTTTAACTAAATTAAAATTTTGTTATTTTCAGTGCTAAAAATAATTGACATAAAAAAAAATTAATTATACATTTTGCGCTATAGGCTCTTAATTATAATAAAAATAATATATATTAATATATATTAATCTGAACAAAAGTTATTACAAATATCAATTCTATTCGTTACATCTTGTGTAGGTACAACATTAAGTTTGTGGTTTCTTGTGATTTGAATTTCATGATTATAATTTATAAGGATATGTCACCCACATGTTTTGTCTTTGTCTTAAAAACGTACAACATAGCAAATCTTTATTCAACAGTTCTGCTTTTGTGTATTTAGGTTTAGAACATTGGTTAAGTACAGTTTAGTATAAACCTTTTTATCAAAAAGATGGAGCATAGATATAGACAATATAAAATTGTCATAATTTTATAATTTTTATTTTCACGTATTATAACAACAATTATTATAATGCCAAACTTAAGCAAACCGTGAGCTAAGCCCTTCTYCATTTCTTCGTTAATTGATAAATTAGTTCCAGAGCAATAAATATTAGTTTTAGCCGTTTTAGGTATCCGTAGTATACTGACCGTTAATGATGTGAAGTTTTAAACATTTATCATTAGGGAAAATATGGGATTGTTAAGATAAGTAATAATTCCTAAATTATTATAGAAACAATTCTGTTTATTTAGTGTTTGATCAGTGATCACCTAGCTATAGTCGTGTCCTATAGTGAAAAAAAGTTTCTGTTTATTTTTTTATTATATATATAGGAATATAATAATATAACAATAATCGGAAACTTTTAACTCGTACTATATTTTGAATTGTTATAATTATTTAAATAAATATTTATATAAAATAGTTCAAAATTGAAAATGACAACATTGCAGAATTTTCTATGTTCAATTGTGTAGATTTACTTTTGTGATTTTATTTCCTTTGATACGCCAGCAAGATTGCTCAATCGTGTCGTAATAAAGGGGTTTTGCTCAATTTTATTGTAGCCAAGAAAATTATCTGTGCTCCTTAATGAGTTTTAATGATATTTACGCAAACTATTTAGTTATATGAGCATTTTTAAATTGTGATATTTTACATATATACTCAGAAGTCTGTAGAACCTACTCATAATTTGCTTGAAAATTAAAATGTCTTAAAAAAAACCCATATCAGAGCATAGATATAATGATTATATATTTAAGTTTGATAATAATTAAATTCTCTTTAWTATTGAAAGCTATTGCTCAAAATTGGAACTGCCGAACACAAAATATTCGCTATGTCTTATAATACMTTTGCAAGCCATAGAAAACATTTTTTGCTTCCTCTTAAAAACTTTGATAACCGTAACTAATTTGGTCTATTTCAAACAAACACAAACACGACTGAAAARTGTATTAAATTAAAATTTAAAATTTGATAGGTGCTTGATTCCGAAAACGTATTCAATAAATTTAATGCGAAATTTATAAATTTGAATTTGTGTGATTTGTAAATAGAAAAACGTATAATTTTAATAACGCAACGTCCAAGACAAATCTAAAGTACGTGCAGAACTAATAGTATTGGATGTATTAATGTATTATACTAAAAAATTTAATAATAATAGTATAACAATATGTGCAGCTGAAATTATTGAAAGATCTGATTTACTTAATCAACATTATACGTCTCAACCATATATGTATCATCATGTACGGACTTTGGACGCAGTGTATATTATGTGGCTGAAAAAATTTCTCCTCATATATATAATTGACCCTAAATAAATGCTCATGCGTCATGCTATTATCATTACATACATTACCCTGTTATGTATTATATTATATACTAGTCTTTCTGAAATTTTTGGATATTATATAAGTAACCGAATCTTGATTCAATTATCGAAAAACACTCGTTTCTTGATTTGAGCGCGATACGTTGACTGTGCAGTGACGTATATAATAGTGCTGTGCTTTAATAATATAAATATCAGAAATGTTCAAAGTTCAAAGTTCGACTAGGCGTGTATAACGAAATAGTGAAATGTAGACGAGTATGTGTAGGTTTTATAATTTTAACTTTAATCCTAAAATTTGTTGTGTGGGTGGGCAGAATTCTAACCCAGCTACTAAATCAAGTGCAGATATTATATATTGACTCCGGTATGCGAAAGTCGGAGACCTGATGTAGCCCGATGTAGGAACATAATATATAAGGATCTAATTAGGTGTGTAATTTAGGTAGTACATATTATAATATGTGTAATTAGTGATTATGTACATTGTATTATTTATATAACATACGGATGCTGCTCACCGCTTTTGCCGACGCCGGGAGCCCCCAGAACCGCTATCTTCACTTCGGTGAGCGACGATTTTTTCCGCCGGATTCCTCGGATGGGATTCGACGACATTCCGTGGCGGAGTACGATATTATTATTTTAAATACCTACCTATTATTATTATAATAACGTGTAGATCGGTATTTTTTCCACCGCGTTAGACAATCCACAAGCGCACATGCACTGTATATTATAATGTTATAAATTATATTATAGCAATATGACGGACCTATATACACACGGCTTGTGATTAATATAAGTTTTATTAACGTTTAAATTCTATTATTGTACGTATTCGTGAGCGAAGACAGACGAGGTGGATCGCGTTTTTCCGAAAGGTCGAAAAGGTCTGGCCGGCTAGCCGGGTGTTATAAAATATTATAATATCGTCGTCAGTGTTGTAATACAAACTCGCACGTTCGCGACAATGGTCGACGATAATCGAGCCCGTCCGAGGGAGAGAATCACCTCTCGCCACGCATAATATAACTCGGTAAATATAGT